GCTTAATAACAGTGAATGTCACGGGGAGGTAACAAGCAGTCCACTGTCGTTTTAGATTAATATGTGAAGAGAGATAAATGCTATGGATACCGGACAGTCACGCTCAAAAGAACAAGACGGGAATGATTCGCTAGTATCTAACTCACTGCCAATATGACCAGATTATCGTTGACATCAGGACAAACTCCCAGAACGTTAGATCAATAAATCGGTCATAATTGAATGTCTCCTGATACACACACACACACACACACACACACATCCATTCACTTATATATATATATATATATATATATATATATATATATATGCATACGGATAGATAGATAGATAGACAGATAGATAGATAGATAGATAGATGGAAGACTTGTGTAGATATACTGATAGATAGATAGATAGAGAGATAGATAGATAGAGAGAGAGAGAGAGATAGAAATAGGGAAGACTTGTATAGCTAGCTCGCATTTCTCTCTCTCTCTCTCTCTCTCTATATATATATATATATATATATATATATATATATATATATATATATATATATATATGAAGGCTTAAACATATAATACTCCATGGTCATAATTTATTCCATTGTAATCGTAAATGCGATCCAATTCATCAGGCATACAAATTCAATTTTTTGAATTTGTAGGTCTGATGAATTGGATCGTATTTACGATTCCAATGTAATAAATTATGACCATGGAATATTAGTGTTTAAGCCTTTTTATTATATCCTTACTCTGTCCGGGACATTGAGTTCTACCTGGATTCTATCCTCTTGGAATTATTTTTTATACATATATATATGTATGTGTTTGTATGCATGTATATATATTTATATAGTTTAGATATATGATTGCATATGTGTGTGTATATTAACCACTAATATTATCTATCTATCTATCTATCTATCTATCTATCTATATATATATATATATATATATGCATACATATATATAGATAGATAGATAGATAGATAGATAGATAGATAGATAGATAGATATAGTGAAGACTTGTGTAGATAGATAGGAAAGAGAGAGAGAAAAGACAGAAATAGGGAAGAATTGTATAGCTAGCTTGCTAGCTACCTAGATAGATAGATAGATAGATAGATAGATAGATAGATAGATATTAAGTTTGAGAAAGAAGGACACAAATCCAAAGACGAACGTATCATAATACACACACACACACGCGCGCGCGCATATATAAATATATATGCATACATATATATAGTGATCGATAAATAGATATATATATATAGATAGCGCAAGAGAGAGAGAGAGAAAGCAAAAGAGATGTATTCTTGTATTTGTGTCACCTAAGTGATTCCAGATATTAGATTTTATCTATGTTGTATTTTGAAACTAAACCAAGCAGAATGTGCGACTAAAGTGACTGTTATCGACACGGAAATTATAGTCACCTTATATTAATGCCCTCCTATGGAAAGGCAGGAATTCATCAATACTCACCCCAATTAAGGGCTTACTTGCAGAAAAAGCCGACCAATTCCCTTGGTTTGCGTAACAGTCAGTCTAGAGAAACCTCAAAAAAGTACCGGTCCACTATATTTATTGATAGTCACGTGTCTTAAAGAAAAAAACTGATAAAGTTATGCGGCATGAAGAAATCTATTTCCAATGTAATTATTTTTCAAAATTAGATCAACAAGATTTTGAACAAGTACCTCGTGAAAAGATATCAAGCTCATATTAAAAAAAATATTCTTAAGTACATATTTAAATATGTGTATGAAAGAAACGACGTCGCAATGATGGGAATCATTAATCGAGTTAGAATTGCAGCTGAAGCAGGAGAAACACAAGGGCAAGAATATAATGAAATGGCCATATTTATCATACATTAACTTTTACTTCCATATTGGCTGGTTAACTTTAATGCCTCAAAAACAAAAACGGCTCTCTATTACTCACCAGAGAGAACCATCCCTGTCTCCCATTAGAATGTCTGACGCTCAACTCCACGAGAGAACCTCTTTGCGACTGTTTGGTCTCACATTGTCTGCTGCCCTGAGATGGAACAAATACATTGAGTCAATAGCTTTGTCCACCGCAAGGAAAGTTGGCTCCCTATGCCGCACCAGGAAATTTTTCTCGCCAGAGTCGATCCTTCAAATCTACAAATCAATCATTCGCCCTTGTATGGAGTATTGCTGCCATATATGGTCTGGAGCCCCTTCTAATTATTTCAAGGTCCTTGATAAAATCCAGAGACGGATATGCAAATACAATTGGCCCTGATCTGGCATCTAGTCTGCAGCCGCTCTCTCACAAACGTATCGTTGCCTCCCTCTGTCTTTTTTACAAATAATTTCATGGTAACTGCTCCGATGAGCTACTTTCGCTGGTTTCCAGATTTCATAAATTTAAGCGTTCAACTAGGCTGGCATCTGGCTTTCACCTTTTCACTGTCGAAACTGTTAAATGTTGCCGTCTCTTCTACTCTAATAGCTTCATGTCTCGCAATTCTTGCCTGTGGGACTCCCTCTCCTCTTCCTGTTTCCCTGATAACTATAATCTCCAACTATTCAAATGTAATGTCAATCGACGTCTCTAGATGCCCTGATCTATCCCCTATCCTTCTCTTCATCCTTTCCTCTATCACTCCTCTTTGTTCTCGCTCCAACTCTCTGTAACCCCTTGTGTGCTAGTAGTGGCTTCCCGCCTTGCTTGGGTTTGAATGCTTAAAAAAAAAATTTAAAAAGATTTAATGCAGGGATCGCTAAATTTCGTCTTGATGGAATGGTGACTAAATAAAATAGTAGTAGAAAGCCAAAGCAGAATTTGGGTGGCTTCCGGCCATAACACGTTGAAACACCGGTTTCCATACGGCCACTGAAGTTAAGCAACATCGAGCCTAGTCAGTACCTAGATGGGTAACGATTTGGGAATACCAGCTGTTGTAAGCTTAGATCTGCAGGTAGTGTAATGGATAATGGCTCGAAATTGTTAATCGGAAAGTCGAGTTCCCGTATGATCACTGAATTTAAGCAATAGCGAGCCTGGTCAGTATCTAGATGGGTGACCGCTCGGGAATACGATGTGCTGTAAGCTGGATGTGCAGGTGGTGTAATGGATAATGGCTCAGAAATGTTAATTGGAAAGTCGAGTTTCCATACGATCATCAATGTTAAGCAATATCGAGCCTGGTCAGTATGTAGATGGGTGACCGCTAAGGAATACTAGGTGCTGTAAGCTTGGATGTGCAGGTAGTGTAATGGTTAATAGCTAGGAATTGGGGTTGAATGCTTATTATATATATATATATATATATATATATATATATATATATATATATGTGTGTGTGTGTGTGTGTGTGTGTGTGTGTAAAAGATATAGAATCCTGACAAACTTTTAGAGAAATTTGACAAATGGAAAACCCTTTCATTGAAGCTAGATTTGATTACGCGTTTCACCTTTCTAGGCTTCATCTGATCAAAACACGAAAGAAAGAAATGCATGTCTGTATATGTGTGTGTCCTTAAATAATATATCATTAGCACTTCTCTCCTTGCCCAAGCTGGCGATTCTGGTAATGAAATAAAAGAATGAAAATGAATGTCTTTTAAAAATGCCATTAATATTTATTCTGTAATGTTATTCTGTGTTTTCGTTATAATTCTTAGTTCATGTTGAAACTTATTCTATATTCTCCCAGCTTTTCTGTTTTTATTTAAATCTACACCCAACTTTCCAGAATGGGCTGAATATAAAAGATTTATGTTTTTAGGTTAGGTATGTCCATGTGTTTTCGGTGTCTATAGACATATGGCCCCGTCAACATGCGGCATGCAAGCCCACCGGTGTGTGGACACGCCCTGGTGCCCATGAACAAAACCCCAGCTATGGGTAAAATAGCTCCACTGCCTTGTGGAAATCTTCGGGGGAAGAAAAGGCTAAGGAATAAACTCTACACAAATCCGGAGTGGATCCCCTAAGGCGGATGGAGGGCATTTTGTGTCACCTTCCGGCAACTCCTGCAGCCGCGCTGGTACCAAACTGTATTGGTTTATCCTCTCCTTTGGACTCTGCTAGTAAGGCCGAGAGGGGGGGGGACTAGACGTCCGGGCAGCCCTAGTTCTCCATATATCCCGCCCAGGCTCGTAGCGCACTGGAGTGGAAACTCCAGCGACGTCGCAAGACATCGGCACAACATTGCCTGAGAGACTGCCGCCCCATAGTGGGACTACAGAGTCACTAGAGGCGAAGTAACTCCATCACCTACAGCACTACTCCATCGTCTGAACGAACGAATACATACACAGGTATACACACACACACGCCCAGACATGTGCATATATATATATATATATATATATATATATAGAGAGAGAGAGAGAGAGAGAGGGGGGGGAGAGAGTGGGGGGGACAGAGAGGGAGAGCTTCATATAGTTTATAAAATAGAGTAGATTATTTGGTCAATAAAACAAAGCCAAACGAAAGCGTACCGATGAAATCAGTATAAAAAACATTTATTAATATTAACCACGTGACAAAAATGAAGCACGGAGATTCAGGTTCCAAGTTAGGAATTCTCTAACACACCTATGTTCCTCATCAGCGGATGCAAGAAATAAACAGAGGATGGTGGAGACTATCCAACATTAGTTCTTGATGCTAGGTAGAGTTCTGCTTCTAGGTGGAATTGTTGGAGAAAATCCGTTCCCTGTTCGATTTCTGGCTGTGCGAAACTTTTTGTGAAAATAATCTTAGATTTAAAAATTGTGATTCGTGGTGGGTGGAGGGTGATGTTGAACAAGGGTTATAAGACCACAGATGGGGACGGTGTTAGTGCTCAAATATTTGGTAAGTTAGTTAATTGTCAGAAAATGGAGGCTGCAGTGAAATTAATTTTTTTTTTTTATAATTTCATTATCTTTATTATTAGAATTTTGTTTTTATTTCAGTTTATTTTTTCCTACCATTTTCTGACATGAATTTCCAAAATAATTCTTTATTCATTTTTTATATTCTTTCTTCCCTGTTATTTTTTCTCTCTTTTATTTTATTTTATTTGTATTGCCTTTTCACACTCTGATCCTATCTAGATACACAACACATCTATGGTTGTATGTTTTTTTCCCTTTTTCATATTATCATTATCTCTATTTTTAGTATTTTGTTATATTTTTTTATTTTTCATTTCAGTTTATTTTTCTCTTTCATTTTAAACTTTTTTGCTAATTTCGATATGTTCCCACACTTAACTAACTCACGTGTTAATATTAACAAATTTTTTTTAGTGCTGATTACATCGGTACCCTTTCCTTTGACTTTGTTTTATTGACTATATATATATATATATATATATATATATATATATAGATAGATAGATAGATAGATAGATAGATAAATAGATAGATAGATAGATAGATTGCTTAATAAAACAAGGATAAACGAAAGGGAACCAATATAATCAAGACGATAAACATTTATTAAATATTAAACATATGGTAAAAATGAAGCATGGAGAAAAAGGTTTTATGTTCGGAATTTTCGGACACGCCTGTGTCCTTTATCAACGGTCCGAGGGACAAACAAAGAAATGGGAATTACTCACCGACAGATATTTTTGAAAATGTTGTATTTTTCAGTGGAAATCGTATTATTAGCAAAAACCGTCTGGTTAGCAATGTCAAATTACAACAAATTTAATATTCTAACCAAACGCTTCCTCTGTAGCTAAATGGTATAGCAGTTCATGCCAACTGACGGTTCATTTCATAATATATATTATCATTTGTCTACATTAAGATATACTCCGAGCAGATATGAGCCTTCGAGACAAAATCATGGGGATTGTGTTGTTTAAAAACAGTTATTTGTTTAAAATCAGTTATCTGACGCTTCCTCTGTAGTTAAATGGTATAACACGTCAGGCCTAATGATGGTTCCGTGCAGGATACAGTTTCGATTCCTGTCGTGGGACACATATTTTCTATCAAAATTCTCAGGCATTCAGGTCGATAAATGTAGTAAATACTGCTTATTATGAACAGAGCATTTTCTTAAATGTTTATATCTATACAACCTAATTTCGTATGTAACGTTTATGCAAAATTCAAAGAATGTAGATCCTTTTACAGAAAAAAAAAGAAATTCCCACAGAGGATTTTAGCCTGCCAGGTAAAACCACGTATCAAAGAGAAAAACTCTCAAACGTTCGACCGATTTCCTAACTCAAAGTAGATGGTGAGATATTTTTCCAGCGTTCTTTCAAGTAAGAAATTCCAAATTCATATTGAAAAACGAAAGCTGGAAGTTCTTTATTTCTCTGTTGGACCGAAGAGAAGGAAATAATAGACGAAGAGTATAAAACTTCTCAATGTAAGAAATCAACCATGTTTCACGTGATCAGGTTAGCCTGACATTACCCCTGGGTCAATGAAATACGTGTTGAGGGATAACGCAATCGAGTTTATTTCTTCTTTTTTATTCCGGAAGAGGTGAGAAGTCTAATAACGCTACACTTCAGTTCTCCATGTATGAGGTTTTTGACTGGTAGCTAAAATTGGACATTGACTTTATAATGTTTTCCGCCATTTTATCATTGATTTTAATACAGGTAATGGAAATAATATTGCGCAGTTTAGAAGACTGTGTAGTGAATAATGATAAAGAGAAAGGTGTCTCTGCTATGTACGTATTTCATATGCGATCAGCGTGTACCTTACTCTTTTTGAGGAAGGTCGCGTCTATATATCATCTCTCAGTTGCGTCTCTGTCTTTGGACAAAGTGCGCTCAGGGGCTTCTTTGTCAAAGGAGAGAGGGGCAACTGAGAAAATTATACTGAAGAGGTGCCCAGCCCCGGGGAACTGCTGCCTGAGGCCACGCCCTCCCATTGCACAAGAAGGAGGGATCGGTCCTCGCACCAAGGGCAACGCAACCGACGGTTGCGAGGGCTGAGGGCAATTTTTGTCCAGTGCCCGGGTCCAGGGCTCGAGTCTCCACTTTAAGAAGACCTTGTGTCACTTCTCGTTCTCGTAGGGGAACGAGTAAACACCGTATTCCATATGCGTTAATTTCAGGGACAAAAACTCACAGGATGATCAGTCTAGAGAAAGCTGAACTGTTGTATTCATATACAAATATTTACCTTATAAATTGCAGCTGATAGAGCTGGAGGCTAAACAAATCCTAAACTTTTGACTATATTCTTTGAATATTAGCCTAAGCCCCAGAAGTCTTTCACCGCCAGGCAGTGCCTCTTAACTGTAAAGGAGACTGGGTTTATTGCCCAGTGCTTGAGGCGTCTCCAAAAGAGGACCTGTTGAGGAGGCTTGAGAAATTTTGCCCTGTGTGACCGTTAAACCTATTTTAAACCTCAACCTTGTGTCACATCCAGTTGCGACATGGGCACATTGGTAAATACCAGATATCCTAACCTTGAAGACGAAACTACTAGAGAAATAGTAGTGAATACTTTTAACTAATTATATTTTGCAAGATGGACAATTAACAGTCGCACGATTTCAATTCATGCTGTGTAAGACGTTTACCTGTGAAAATATCTTGCGTTAAGACTGAAAGAAAATCCCAGAGATACTGTAACTTAGGGCATCTAAACCCGGGCGCTATCACCCACCGATGGCCGATTTCAACTGTTGGGTGGGCGATGTGCAACTGAACAGAAAATGGGATATCGGAAGATTTAGTCGGGGATATAAAATTTTGTGTATTAAGAAGTTATTTCAACATATTCTACTTGAAAAAATTAAATATGCAAAGAACCTTATAAAAAAGTAAAACGGGAAGCTAAATTGGTCATATTCCTAGATAATATATAATTATTCCCGCAAACAACAAATATTTTGGTATTCCCTATAGTTTTAAGAAGAGTCATTAACATTCAAATATTTCTTCAGAGGTTATAAATTTTTTATTTGATATAAATTAGATAAGAGAA